AAAAAAAGGGAAAGGAAAAAATATGAGAAGAGGAAAAAAATGTAAACAAGGTCTTTGCAAATAGGGAAGGGTGGAGGGGGTAAATGGAGGGCAAGGAAAGGGGAAAAAAAATAAGAACCAAGAGACTCATGTAGTGGTACAAGTTCCCAATGATGAATGTAACTGTATTGTATACCTAAAATGTACCAATAAAGTTAATGGGGAAAAAAATTAAAAAAAAAAAAGATTATACAAAAATATGCAAATGAATGCATTATAATCTCTTGAAGGCTTGATTTTCATTTAATAAACCACTGACAGTTATTTCTCATCCTGGGCCAGTCTTGGCCTATGTTTTTCTCCCATAGGTTCTAAGTAGAATAAATGGTTTGTGAATCAACTTTCATTTTTCTCTTCCCTGGCCTTAGGCTCTGGTTCTCTCTTGGCACTATATTACTCTGATAGCCAAAGAGGAAATTCAGCATGTTCTGTAGAGTGAAGGGTTCAGCACTGCAGAAAGGACCAGCAAGTTTATTAATTTATTGGTGGCAAAAGGGATATAAAATTATTTTAGAAAATAATTAAATAAAATCCTGGCAGTGTGCTAAAAGGAAAAATACACTGGATTAGCAAAACAATCACTAAGAAGGAAAGAAGTATAGTGATTGATGGCCTTGACTCCCTCGATTCCAGGAAGAAAAGTGAGCTAAACATTCCAGAACAAAATTTGGTACTGAATTGGGAAAGCAGCCAACAGAACCCTAGGAGGGTCAACAGGACACTAGAAGTTTTGCCTGTTTTGTTTGCCCTGGTGCACCTCTAACATGGCCATGATATTAGTTTACTGGTCCAAGAAAATGAAGAAGTACATTAAGCAGACCCGTATACCCAGAGAATTCTAGAATTGTCTGTTTACACAGCAATAACTAACTCAGAAGGGAAGGGAGAGCTGAAGAGAATGGAGAGTGTTGGGAGAAAAACAGGAAAAGCTATGCTATGTACAGGCACAAATTCCCTTTGATGAATGTGAACATTATGTATATTTAAACTGCACCAATAAAATTAATTTCAAAAAGAAATATAATGGAAATAATTAACTCAGTCATATTACATATAATCATGAAAATAGATACAAGCAATGAACATAATATAGAATAAAGCCATGGCTATAAATCCAACTTTTGTTTAGCTTCAGTACTATGTCTGTGTATGTTTGTAAAAACTTATAAAATTGCTATTTTTATAAGTACAGAGTGGTCACATTTGTCAACTTCATATGGATCAACCTAAGTATTCAGTAATATATATTTTGATCACTATTTAAAATCCCTTTTAGGATCACATTTTAGAAGAGGTCCTTAAAATTAAATAAGAAAGGGATTTCCAAGGTACCTGGCAAATAGTTGGCTATCAATAAATATCTGCTAAAAGGTTATTGAATAAAGGCAAAAGTTCAAGCAATACTTTGTATTTACGTCCTATTGAAAAGACTATTTAAGTGCTACATACATTAATTTAGCTACTTACATTTTAGCCCCAAGCAATATTATATATGATTTTTAACTGTTCTGATTTTATAAGCAAACTGTCATGGATAAAGGAAAATAGGTAGATGTTTTATAGATTTTAACCAAAATATGGTGAATAGCAGGCAATCTTCTAATAACCCCACAAGTCCTGTTTCCAATGAATAGTAGAAATACCACTCCTGGATATAGCAAATTATTAATGCATTGAATGTTCAGAGGAAAGTGCTTTACCTCTCTTCTGAAGGCAGGACAGATAATATCAGTTTTTCACATTGTCAAAATGTGAAAGAAACCTAACCATCAATATTCGTTCATGAAATGTATTGTGTGCTACGAATATTCCCCAAGTCAGAACTCTGTTGTAATGGTAAACACCAGTGCACTGAATGGAACTTTAAATTTCTGTTTCTATCTTTACATCCAGCACTAATGCTGTGGTCCCATTTTTTAGGTCCAATTTATGCCTAATAAATGTACTCACAGAAACCATTTGGTCCACTTATCTAATCCCTTTCTACAATGCTTTCATCACATTGTTTCCTCATTCAAGTACATGTTTGTATTTTTTGGACCTCAGCATCTTTCACGATGGTTAGTTTAAATGGGCAGTCTCAGGCTGAAATTTGTTGCTCCCAAACATAAGCTGACTCTTTCATTTTTAGTTGCCATGAAGAGCTCCACTA